ATGCAACGAGGAAGAAAATGCTGCGGATTTTCAAATTGTGCAATACAGCAGCAGACATAATTTATCTAATGGATTTGATCTTTCACATATAAATTAGAACACGGAAATATAATTTAGACTGTCCCACATTTGATATGGGACGCGTTTGTGGAAAGCGGGAAATGCATTCCTTTAGAAAAGAAGACCTAATAATATGGTTTAATGGGCATTTTTGACGTTGAAGCATTTTCCACGAGCTAGTTAAGTTTTCAGCTGTTTTGAAAAATGATGAACGATAATGTTTCCAAATTCTTTAACTGCATTAAATTGTTTTTCAGTCTGTAATAAAACCAAAACATTTTCAGAATTATATCTACTTGATTTATACCATAAGAGCGGCTCTTTAAAGTAAACGCTCTCATATTTTCTGCGCTACATTTACTTTCCGTTCCATTGATTTTATTGGGTAGCGTTGTTTATTGTAATAAGAGTTCAGTATCTGAAGCCGCGTTTCAAAGGGCCTCGTGAGTGTTTCGGGTATATTTTGGTTTGCGGGTTTGTGTATGACGCACCGCGTTGACGCACGGTTCGCGCTACACGGCATGTTGTTGAATTTAGCCACTTCTCCCCATTCATTGCCAGGTTTTCGAGAAAAACTGTTTTAATGACATATGTATACTGACGTGCTTTGAGAGCGCAATCTTGAGAGAGTATATTAGGTATGCCTAATGCCAAAGTCTTTGTTCGGATAAAATTGCCGTAAAAAAGAAGATTCTCATTTTTTTGCTACGTTTTATAATTTTATCTGTCACTTTATAACGTAAAACTACACTATAAACCCACCCATGATTGTTATTAAACACGGTAAATTCAATTAAAAATGATCTCTGGCTGAAAGTTCTCTGAAAGTTTTCCGAGACTTACCTAGATATGACGCGTTTGTTTATTTTTAATTAGCCATTTTGTTTTTGTTGGTTGACTTTCTGGCAAGTCTTTTTGCTAAAAAAGTAAAGATAAACTATGAGCACAGTACTGACTGAACGATCCTAATTTGTAAAATACTCGTATGGATACTGAAAACTCGTTCCATGCGGTTTATAAACAGGTATTAATAGATAAACCGCAAGCAGTAGCATCAGAAAGGACTGCTCGGGACTGAAAATCAATACCTGCCTGACTACGTCTGGATAAACACCACGAGTAGAGCCCATCTAGAAAAATAAAACGTACATAGCTCTACTAACGTTAGGTAAATATTTTCTATAAGAATTTTATTACTTAGGTCTCAATTTTAATTTTGTATAGGAAAACCTACATTTTCCCATCGCCTGTTAGATATTGTTGTTAGAAACGTATTGTTTTTAGGCCACGTTCATATTCACTGTCTACGAATCGAAACCATTTCCAGCCTGTCTAATGATGCACTAAATACAATTTAAATGTTTGTTATCAAGCAATGAAAATGCTAATCAATAAAATAGAAACTTAATTATTTTCAACTATTCTTCTAGGTCACTCTACACTTCCTAGATACATAATCCGACATTGTAACCGGTTTACTGAAAACTACGCATTGTGTAAATAAAAACTACCTTGGTGGTTCGTTTAGCGCTTACGATGAATCGTAATACAATACCAAGGCAATAATGATTCTTTATATGGCGCTTATGTGCTCACACAGACATTATAACTGAGTTAACAGTACCACTTAGCATCTAGTTCAAGAAACCTTACAGGAACTAAGTACACAGCGGAAGTAACACGTAGAAATTAGTACTAAAATAAATAAAATAAAAAAATATCCTTGGATATTTTACACTGCGCTTCTAGTCCCAAACTAAGCAAAGCTTGTACTATGGGTACTAGACAACGGATATAAACATACTTAAATACTTTTTTTTGTAAATGCATACCTACTTATTTATTATACATAGAAAACACCCTGACACACCACTAACTAATTTAAATATTACAATGTTTTATTTATTTATGCTGTTATTGTAGGTATGTAGTTGAATATGAAGCTTTATTTTCCCGGAAAATGTGTAGGGAAATACATCATCAATGATGACATATACGATAACACATTATGTTTTTTTTTGTTTCCAGGTCACGCACCGAGAAGAACAGTTAGCACGTCAAGATGACGGTGGTCGTGAATCCCGCGCGGACCAGCTCCGAGGAGGACATGAGCCCAGACTTCCAGTCTCAGTCTCAGTCTGGGCGCGAGAGCGAGATCGGCGAGTACTATGCGGGAGGCGGGCTCGAGATGGACGAGAACGCGCGCCTCTACGACGACGAGAAGCAGAGCGACATCGTCTTCGTGGCCGGCATCAACGGCGACACCTGGCGCTACCCTGGCCATCGTCGCGTTCTCGCCGCCACCAGCCCCGTCTTCGCCGCACTCCTCTCCGTCAAAACAGACGTCATCGTCGTCGATTACGTCGACCGGCGCGGCTTCGAGCAACTTCTCCGCTACCACTACTGCGAACCCACGCAGCTCAACTCCGTGGCCACTGCACGGTGCGCTCTCGACGCTGCGTACAAGTTCCTCTGCTCGCCTCTTGCGGAGCGATGCGCTCGGCGACTCGACGAGATGTTGGATGCAGGTGTTGCTTTGGAAATTCTACGCGACCTACGATTCTTGTGTGCGAGGTTGCCCGGAGCAGCTTCAGCGCCACCCTTACCAGCGCTGGCGGACGATGCCGCCGCACGATCTCTGGCACAGTGCTCACGGTGGTGCGACTCACTGGCCCACAATGCTCTTCTAGTCCTTGATGATAACGCAGACGCTGCTCTCACAGACGAAAGGCTCGAAGAGCTTACGTATGAGGATTTGGCGCTGATAGTGCGACGCGATACACTGAGGGTGTCCAACGAGCTCGTCTTGGTTGAGGCGCTGTCGCGGTGGGCCACGGCGGCGTGCAAGCGGACGAAACGGGAGCTGACCCCGAGCAATAAGCGCGCTGCTCTCGGTGAGCTGGCGTACTGTCCAAGATATTTGCTGCTACAGGGCGAGCAGCTGGATCGCGCTCTGGGTATGGAGTTACTGGAGCCGATGGAGCGCGCGCTGGTGGTGGCTCGCGCTCGTAAGCTGTCCGCACCGGTGCCAGTGGGGGCGGAGCAAGAGGGACTTCTGCGTCGGTGGGCGCGCCCGCGGCCCGTGGAGCCTGCAGCCCTGCCGGTGCACCTCAGCCCGCGCTCTGAGCCGGTGGAAGACCCGCAGCCGAGTAAGCTCTGCTCCCGTCGCAAGCGCCCGAAGCAACCTAGCTTCAATCCCGACGACAAGAATAAGAAAGAAGGATGCTGCGCTTGCTTCTGGGACGGCATTTTGCGGGCTTTTATATGCTTGTTCGACTGAGATAGGGCACCCACCTCGTATGTTTAAATTACATATGAGATGGTATTCGGCCGTTCTGTGGGTGTTACAGGGATTGATTCCTCAGCATTGTTTTTTTCCTATCTTAAACGATTTTCATTGAAAACTATGGAAAAATAAAATCTTCGAGGGACTAGAAAAGAAGACAAGTAGGTAATGAAAAGAAGAAAAGTAGATATAATAAAAAATTGGAAAGATTGTTGGATATGGTAATGTAATGTATGAATATGTAGGTAAAGAATTTAGGGAATTTTATATAGAATGAAGATGACTTTGAAGGGAAACTTAGCAGGTAGGTAGAAAGAATGCCTTCTTTTGTATATTTTTAATGAACTGAAAATTGAATTTGTATTGAGACCAATATCCCTGAAATAGTTAATTGCACTTTATGATTGTTGTCTTGAGTGATTAGTTTTGTTTCTGCTAAGTACCTACCTCCCTCAAATAATTTAGTTAAAGTTATGAAGAATATATAGTTTCAATTGTGTTAAGTTGATGCTTAGTGAAGTTGGCAGCTGAAAGTTGTTCGAGTCAAGTTGTTTTGTGGTGGACAGATAAATAGACGGGATTAGTTGCATGGACTATGAATATAAACCATACTTAAACGGAATCGCAGCGCAGCTGCTTGGTAGTTGATTATAATTATTAATGTATCTTTGTGTAGTAGGCACTTTTGTGTATCTTAATGTTGTGATATCTATGTTAATGCGATCTGACTTTAATCCGTATGTAGGAATTGTTTTCGTTAGATATGTACATATCAAATTGTTGAACAATTTGCATTTATAGTGTTTTTTTTAACTATACTGCGATGAATTGGTGCACAAAATATTGTTTAAACTAGTTTTATTTTAGAAACAATTTGTTGCATTTATTGTATTTTAAGCATTTTAGCTTTATTGATATTTAGTTACAATTATTATTAGTGAATTCTTCCATTATTTTCCTTCCTAGTCGTATTAAGTAGATTTTATTATGTCAATGAATAAGAATGATAACCGTAAGTGTATAATGAAATAACCATTAGAATAATAACTTCTGCCTTTCTTTCAAATGTGTTCTCTCCTTAATCTTTGGAAACCTATTGTATAATACTTACCACTTACTATCAATTTATTTTTGGACTGTGCCATATACATACTTACGAAAAATAATGATAAAACGTTAGGTAATGCAATTGTTACTCAATTGTGTAGCAGTAAGGATATTTTTCAAAAATAATTTGGATTTTGAACGATTTAAAACCAACGCTATTTGTAATTAGCTGTTTAGCTCATGCGTCTATTATGAATACTACTTAATTAATCTTTAAATTATTCTATTAATGTATCTGTGGCGTTTTAAACGAGTAAGATTATTAAATTATCCAAAAATATTATTAGCAGATAATTCTGTTACGTTATTTGAGCTGATAATGTGTTGGAATACATGAAATTAAATGAATGTCAACATTAATCGATGTGTTCAGCTCAGAGCTGTTATATTGTAACGAAATACCCGTCGTCAAAAAATATATGATGTTTAAATTATACGTTTCTAATTATTTTCCCATCCATAAAAGACTGAGGTTTATAAAAGTATATATAACTACTTTTATAAACCTAAAAAGATTAATTTAAATATAAAAATACATTATAATAATTTAGGTACGTGAGACTGTAGTGTCATCTCTCTCACAGACTTCGTCTCTCTCGAATATAGGCGCTTGAGACCTGAAAGAGCTTTTCCTAGACTGCAGGGTGCAGGCATCGCTGCCCATCGTGAGTGTATCGATTTTCTCGATTTTCTGCGCCATTTCAGCAATCGAGTTCTCGACCACGTGAAGATTTTTCCTCAGCGACGTTACAGTGTTTTGCAATTCGAGCATAGAGTCGATTTTCGCGTCGATTTTTTCAAATTTCTCCCTGATATGGTCACGGGCCCCCTGAGCATGTTCTATTTGGTTCTCTATTCTAGACGAAATGTCTTTCTGCAACTCTTTGAATTTTCTATCGAATGTAGAGTCTTCTTTGCTATCACGCCGCTTGCGTTCCCCGGTGTTTGTTGACAAAGTGCGGTATTTGTAGCCGGAACTTCGTGAAGTGTAACAGCTCTTGTGAAATATTTGTGACATTATAGTTACAGCTAATAATATCAGTGGAAATCACACATAATTTAACTTTTATTTATTTATTAAACATATAAAAAGAGCTGTGATTGTATGTAAACAAAATTGTAGAGAATGACAGGCACTACAGCAATCAATAAACCTTTTTATTTTTAAGTCATTATTGACTGACATAATAGCACATAGCATTGAGTTCAAGAAAATAGGCCACTGCATACTCCTTGGTAACGACAAAGTTTGCTTTTTAAATCGAGTTGTGCCATCTAGTGGTATGGTTTCAAATTTGTAGCAAGCTGTGGTTGTGAAACACGGCTACAGTAGCGGCGCGTAGTCATCCGTTTTAGTTGGTAGAGCACCGCACAGAGGGCAGTGTGTGCTATGTTTTTCAGAGTTCTCAGAACTTTTTTTCATTTACAAACTCTGATTTACCACAGGTTTTTACTAAAATTTTGGACTTATGTTAGTTTTGTCCAGGCCTCGAAGTTTATTTTTGTCTTTAAGAATCTCGGCCATAATTGAAAATTAAGTTAAGGCCTATGTTCAGCAGTGGACGTCCTGTGGCTGAAATCATGATGATGATGATGATAAGCTGAATAGTGGAACAGATTCCACTTACTTTAGGTACTATACCTATAAAATCTGAGCGAACCAGAAAACAGTGAAAGAATAAAACTTTCATTGTATATCTTTAGACTATCCTTTTCCTGCTGCTTCTCCCACGTGGATTTCGAACTTTCATAGAAAATATTTATTTATTCATTAATGCTTATGAGTTTAAATATCACTTTACCTACCTATATAAATTCTAGTTTTATGTTCTCTTTGTTCTGAGGTCTTTTTATTCATATTAGTAATCTGGATTTATCACCAAAAAATTTCAAGAGGAAAATGCCAATTTATTTATCCAGGATTGATTAATAATTGATAAATGATCGAGATATCATACTTATATGATTAGCTATTGTGATTGCTGAACAAACATACAAAAACTTCTGAATTATCTACACGTGTAAGTTAGCTACCTACTTGGACGAATAAACCACGAGCTACATACATTTCCCTACCTATATTACAAACATAGATAGTTTTGGGAAGAATTTCAAGAACTGATAAACAAGGGTAAAGTTGTTAAGTGTTAAAAGAAAAAGAGAGAGCCATAATATTATGACAATGTGCTACAGCAGTGGTATAATAATTTCATGTTAATAATAATGTTAAATCCTGAAAAAAGAGAGAGAGCCATGTGTACTACATAATCCTTTCGTTCGTTTCAGCCCAATGACGTCCACTGCTGGACAAAAGCCTCGCCCAAAGATTTCCACAACGCCCGATCCTGCGCCGCCCGCATCCAGGTACCGGATCTTCACCAGATCGTCGGTAGGTATTTGGGGACCTGTCTACACCTACGTCTCCCGGCCTGTGGTCGCCACTCGAGAACTGTTCTGCCCCAGCGGCCAGCTCTACGAGCTATGTGCCCTGCCCACTGCCACTTGATTTTGGCGATTCTGCTATAGTCGTACAATAATGAAATGTAATAATAATCTTTGGACTCTACACAGCCCATATGCAGCGACCTTTTACAAGGCCATTACAAAGTGACCTGCTGAGAGATGCCTCTTGCCAAATGTGGTGCCACCGCCATAAACTAGGACGAACATCCATAAAAACATAAACAAAAAGTGTCCTTAACAGTTTGATACAAAAAGTTTTTATTTGGATTATTATTACTAGATAGGACCTACAGAAATGTTTGAGTGTTATTATCGTTTTAATAGTGGTGATTTAAGTAAGATGCTGTGCAAAAAAGAACTTTGATATGAAAAAATTGTAGGTACAGAATTTTCCAGATCATTTTATTTCATTTATTGCCTTGATAAAGTTAGGTTAGTCAATAAGTAAGTATGACATCAGAAGAGAGGTTTTTTTATTGTTGTTTTGAGAAGATAAGATGGTCAATAAATGTTCAAAAGTAATACCCAAACTTAAAGATGACAGTGAGGTAACTGAAAAAAATACTATACAGCCGTTAATTACTTACACAATATGCAAAGGTTTTTTTAACTGTCCCCTTTTGTATTCTGGAGTGGTTTACACAATATCTACCTCCATCTCTCAGATAATACAAAACTGTACTCGGGGAAGACCATTTCAACAAAGAATATGAAAAAAAAGACAATATACCTGTGACTTCACGCGGCGAAGCCGAACTATTTCAAATGAAATGATACTACGAAATTACGTTACTGGTTGAAAAAAGTGAATAGGCACCACGAGGTGGCGCTTAACTTGTTCTGAGCTTTGTTGTTTAAATACGTTCTTATTCTTAGAGCTCTAAGCTTGAAATTGGAGTGCAGTAGTAGATTGTTGAATAGTAAATGGCCTGAATACAATCTCGAGTGTGCCATTATATCCGTGGTTACCTGGGCATGTTCCCAGCGCGCCGGTAACATTGCTAGCGACAATGACGCGTGGGTGTGCCTCCGAATAATTGTATGGGAATTACACTAACGTCCTAACGGACTGTCTATTCAGTATTCAGACATCGATTACCCATTATATGCTTAAGAATGTGTTTTATTATAGCTGTAATTGCTATATTCTTGTTGACAATAATGCTAATGATTATAATGTCAACATACAACGTATCTACAAACACAGATTTTAATTCTTAATGCCGATCCAGTCGTCAAAACTAGTTAATATGTTTGGTAGAGTACCTAACGTAAGGACCTGATACGTGAGGATCTTGTCTGGTTATGATCGAGACTATTTTAATGATTCTACTCGTGTTTATTTTTCAATTCCTGATGGACGATGGTTTCCGCACAAGTTTCTGTGTTTTCGAGTCTGTCGCTGTCGCTAATGCCTCTTAAGAATTAGTACATAATATTTTATTTTATTTTATTTGTTTAACAATGTTTCAACAGCATTAAATTGTACATAAATGTGCAGGAAGATACTTGATATGCTAAGTCATCTAAATGCTAGTTACTTTTGTAATCATAATCTACGCGAATGAAGCCGAGTCTTCAAAGTTAGTCTTTTCTAAAAAATATTCACAGCTTGCCACTCAATAAATTCCAATGTTTAAATGGATAAGGCAAAAAGTGATTTTCGATAAATTACTACAACCTATTTTAATTAAAAACTAGCCATACTTGCCGCATCAATGAACAATAGGCCAAGTTTACTATTAAACCACATGATTAATATACGATTAACAGCGGGTATGAATAAAATATAAATCTATGGACACCGTGAGAAAATCTGCTATTATAAACTCAACTTTTATAATGCTATTTATAAAAAGAAACACTTGTAGGACAGTTCTCACACCAACATTCATTAGTAGCGGGTCACAAAGCACAATGGCCATATTGGGCACATGTGTGCAGAACCCTTCACGGCTGATCGTCTCCACATTGTGCCCAAATCACAAATTTCACAGAAAAAATGTCAATAGACTACCCCCGACTTTTGCACTTCATCAAAAATAAATTTACCCCAGAATAATGCAGTCCCAACCTGTTGGAATCCTTTGTCAAACACTTACAATGGTTTAAAAAAAACTTGGACCCAACTTTTTTGAGGTCCTTTGTAATATTAAACGGAGAACAAAATTATTGTTTTTATTTTTTTGTTGCCTCTTCGAGTGGTTTATGCATATTATTCAAAAGTTCGGCCGTAGTTAGAAACCCATACTAATATTCTTTTAGACAGACATTGTAAACAATGCAAATACTGTTTCATTTTAACCCCAAAGCAAAAGTTTAAAATAGGCGACTCATCCATAGATTTGTTTATTAGGTACTTGTCAAATCAGTTGTTAAAATTATTCAATAAGTTACTCTACCTATTTTATTGACTTGTTTGAGCTAAAACCTAAAATGATTTCTAGAGAAGTCATCATGCTATTGATGTAAATGGTGTCAACCACCCTTTTACAATGTATGATTGGCAAATTCCAAGAAATTGTCATTGGAATATTCCAAAAACACGTCTCCGCATCACACATTCCTATCAAACCCGAATTAGTCATGTAACACGACCTGGGGTATTCTAAGTGAATTTATATCAACTTCCAGACACAATAAGTAAAAAACACCCTCACGTATCTTCCCGGTTGGTTACTAAACATTCCGAGATAGTAATTCGAGCCAGTCGCCGTAGAATGGAAAAAAATGTAAATAATGTTGATAGCGCGCTCCGGGAGTCTCTTTCGGGCCGTGTTGATCGGTTTTATTGGCGTCGTGAGAGGGTCAGGTGGCTATAGATCCTGGATTTATGGGACATAATGCCTATAGGTACCAATTTTTCCTAAAATGGAATATTTCTCTACGTGCTCTTTTTTCGACGACACTGTCAGGTCTCTGAGCTACCAAGCTCTATTCTTCAAACCCTACTCGAGAAAATTACCAAGATCTAATCCCAGCTAAATGCAATTTTAGATTTATTTATTTATTTTTATTTATTTATTTATTTAGGATTTAGATGAAAATACTAAGTAAATTATGTTGCATTAATCGTCTGCCTGAGAAAGGATTGAACCTACTAAGTTCGCTTACTAAGGTACCTATCTAACTGCTTTGATTTATGAGTACCTACATCATATATTTTCCAATTTTCCTTTATATAAATTTCTTTATATAAAAGTCTTAGTTCTTTGTTCAATGTGATCCACAAGACAATAAAGTTCTCGTATTGGTCACCCTAAGCGGGGGCCACGTACAACCATAAAAAGCTTCTTTTACTTTTTTCCGGCTACATTGTCAGACACTAGGCCTCAAGATTAAAACGAGATGAGGTGACTAATAAAAGGCTTTTTGTTATTTGTAGCTTGTTTTCATGTCAAGTCACTTACAATTCACTTTATTTATCTCCTGCAAAATCACTCTTCATTTTAAAAGAAACCACAAGACGCATAAGATGGAAATGTCTTTGACTCTTAACCTGTTAAACCAGTGTGAAAACATAAAGTAAAACAATCTTAAATTGATGAGAAAATGCCTAATAATAACTGATAAACAAGTTATCATTATTGCTTAATTATGTAGGTATGTAATTATTTATTTATGCAAATCTACGAAAACTGTTACGTTTTATGTTA